AAAAAAAAAAAAAAAAAAAAAAAACCAGTAAGCCACTATCGGGGTAGAGGCTTATGATAAGCCAAGGGGAGGGAGGGAGTGGTGTGTGAGAAAGGAAATGTTGTATCAAAATGGGCTTAGGTCAATTGGTACACCCATATCACGTGTTGAAATACAGACCGAAGTTCGTATCCAGGGCCGTGGTCCCACTAGCAAAGCGGATAGGATAGAAAGCCTGAATCTGGCTATGTTTTATGCAGACATACAGAAAAGCAGTTCTATCTCGATTTCCTGCTCCTGTCCTCAAATACGTCCAGATTCCGGCATTCAATCCTATTATGCTCTTTGCTAATGGGACCACGGCCCAGATGCAACAAAGATGATCAGAATAGAATAAATTTCAATAAAATCATTCTGAATTACCTGGGGCCGGTCAGTTCAATGATGATATCTCAAGCCTCTCGCCCTTTAACAAAGAAAAAAGAAAAAAAGAAAGAAGAAGAAAGAAAAAAGAAAAAAGAAAAGAAAGGAAATGTACTTACTTTCCGACTCTTATGCCCAGGAGAAAACAGGGGTAAACCTCAAACATATAAAAAAAAAACAAAAAAAACAGGGGTAAACCTCAAATATGCGTTTGCGAGTGCTTTTTTTCTTTTAAGGGTAAGGAGTATTTAAAACCTCAAATATGCGTTTGCGAGTGCTTTTTTTCTTTTAAGGGTAGGGAGTATTTAAAAAGAAGAAGCTTGAGAAGTTCTGGGGCGAGGTCCCACTAGCACAGAGGACTGGATTGGATTTAATGCATGAATCTGGATGTGTTTGTGGAGAGGTGCATAAAATTGCGATTGATCTGCTTTTCTGCATCTCTGTGAATAACACATCCAGATTCCTGTGCTGAATCCTACTCTCGTTGACTAGGGGCACCTTGCCGTGGTAAAAAAAAAAAAAAAAAAAAAGTAGAATGTTTTTCCAAAACGTGAAGCTATGTGGAAAAAACCTGTGGAAAATGTGCATGAGAAATAAAGAGGCAGCACTTTCAGGAAAGTTTGAGACATAAAGATCCTCGAATCATCCCGCTGTTATGGCCGCGAGATCACCGGTTCGAATCCCAGTTGCCACAGATTTGGTCCTTGCAAACATACTGAATCAGTGGTAGCAAAGGAAACCATTGGAAAACTGGTGGGAAAAAAAAGAGGCATACATAAGTAGCCATCAGGGGTGCTGCCCTTTCAAACATGCAAAATGTGTTCAATATTTGCTACTACAACTTCGTTACGCAACAGCATGGCGGCCTCCTCAATTATGTAAAATCATAATTGCATTCAGTTTGGGAGAAATGGAATGGTAGCGAAGGCTTCCCTCCTTTGTGATAAAAAATCTCTTGAAAACCACCAGTTCACACACCTAAGTATTGTTCTTTGGGGGGTGTACGCGGTGGGAAGAGCATCTCGACTCGGGCCTGAGGCGGTAGCAAAAGCGCCAGGCCACCTTGAAAAGGCCGGTTGCAGGCTCACTTGGAAGGCAGCAGCGCGTCGGGAAGAGCATCTCGACTCGGGCCTGAGCCGGTAGCAAAAGCGGCAAGCCACTTTGAAAAGGCTCGTTGCAGGCTCACGAGCCTTGCCTTGGAAGGCAGTGCGCCGGGAAGAGCATCTTGACTCGGGCCTGAGGCGGTAGCAAAAGTGCCAGGCCACCTGGAAAAGGCTCGTTGCAGGCTCACGAGCCTTGCCTTGGAAGGCAGCGCGCTGGGAAGAGCATCTTGACTCAGGCCTGAGCCGGTAGCAAAAGCGGCAAGCCACTTTGAAAAGGCTCGTTGCAGGCTCACGAGCCTTGCTGTGGAACGCAGTGCGCCGGGAAGAGCATCTCAACTCGGGCCTGAGGCGGTAGCAAAAGTGCCAGGCCACCTGGAAAAGGCTCGTTGCAGGCTCACGAGCCTTGCCTTGGAAGGCAGCGTGCTGGGAAGAGCATCTCGACTCGCGCCTGAGCCGGTAGCAAAAGCGGCAAGCCACTTTGAAAAGGTCACGAGCATTGGAAGGCAGTTCTGTCAACGGAGGCCCTTGTGAAAGTGTCGGTTTAAACCACCAGTAGTACTTCCTAAAGTCCTGCCCGCTAACAAGCCACAATTTTATTCCACCAGTAGTACTTCCTAAAGTCGTGCCCGTTAACAAGCCACAATTTTATTTTAGGAAACGTACGGGACACTACAGGAGTGACCAAATTCATCCAACTAGAAACGATTCTACTCTATTTTTTTCTGTGGCCGATAGCTGGGCCAAGTACTGGTGCGGTTTAAGCACACGCAGCCAGGCACGATTTCAGATAAGGGGTAAAACTTGTTGAAGAATTGTCGACCGTAGTAGGTGCACGATTCATGTGCGTCAAACTCAAACAGCCAAAATGTTTGTAAAAAAAAAAGCGATGGGAGTCGGCCGTTTGCATTCCTCCAAGAGGCTTTAAAATGGTATCGTCTGCAGTATCCGATAGCACTGGTCATCCAAAGTGCTCGGAATGTTACGCCTGGAATGATACATTTTTTTATTATTATTATTTTTTCTTTTTTTTTAACTTTGGTGGGAGGAAGCACTCGAGGGGGAGAGATGAGAGCAGCCCCCTCAAGTGGACCTCCGGGTGAAGGCTCCATCTATTGGCGGGGAGCTGCACCTGCTGGCAACCGGGCCCAACTTCCCAGATATTACAATACACTGCTGCACCAGCTGGGAACTGGGTCCAGTGTCCCATACTTTTGTGATTCTCGACGTTGGCTGGTACAGGTGGTGGTGGTCTAAACCACCAGTACACCGGTGTCTGGCAGCACCACTCTGCGTGCCAAGCTTTGCCGAACCGCCAGCAGTGGCATTTTTCCTTTTCCGGCTGGTGCTGCCAGCCATTGTGGTCCTGTAGCCTCAGGCCTCCGAAATGTTTTGGAGTACACGATGAACAGAACTTGCAACGCTCACCGCACTGCAACCCATGCTTTGCCGAACCACCAGCGGTGGCATTTTTCCTTTTTTGGGTGGTGCCACCAGCCATTGTGGTCCGGTAGCCGCAATCCTCCGAAGTTTTTGGAGTACACGATCAAGAAAACTTGCAACCCTGGGGCCATGTACTGGCGGTTTAAGGGTTCTCACTTTGGGGCCACGGTTTCACTACCGTCTTCACCCGAATAGAACACCCGGTCATTATTGCTGCATCTTGACTGAAAGTTGGGCCAAATGCAGCTATAATGACCGGGCGTTCTATTCGGGTGAAGACGGTAGTGGAGAGACACAGATAGAGAATAGATGTGGAGCATCCGTGTGGGACCAGGAAACTGTAGACGCAGAGTTGTCGAACGGACAGCACATTTCATAAAACCGTCAACCGGATGGGAAATTTCATGGAATACTCGTGCTCACTTTTGAGTTCCTATCAATTATGTGCCTTGGAATTTCTGCAGGTTTGATTGGTAGCTGTCGTCACGCATGGCATGATGGAAAAACTCAAAGCAAATGAAAAATGAACTGGGCTGACGACGTCACCCAAAAGAAAAGAAAAAAAAAGGTAAAAAAAACAACGCACTGGCAAATCTTGGCGCGCTGCTTTTGTCCGCCTTGGCAAAAAGAGGTTCGGAGGTAATGCTGGCTTAAGGTGTTGAAAACCCTTTTTGCTGTGTATTAGTTTCTTTTTCCTTACTTTTTTTGAATTTGAAAAAAAAAGGGGCCTACATGTGTGCGTGTGTGTCTTATGTGTGTGCATGGTTACGTTTGTCTGTATGTGTGTGTGCGTGCGTCTGTGTGTGTGTGCATGCATGCGTCTGCATGTGTGTGTGTGTGTGTGTGTGTGTGTGTGTGTGTGTGTGTGTGTGTGTGTGTGTGTGTGTGTGTGTG